GAAGTCACTTGGAGCCATTTCAAAGCACTTAAAACCATCAGCCCGAAGGTTGGGTCTTGGGCGCAGTTGGGTGTTCCAACAAGACAATGACCCAAAACACACATCAAAAGTGGTAAAGGAATGGCTAAACCAGGCTAGAATTAAGGTTTTAGAATGGCCTTCCCAAAGTCCTGACTTTAAACCCCATTGAGAACATGTGGACAGTGCTAAAGAAACAGGTTCATGCAAGAAAACCATCACATTTAGCTGAACTGCACCAATTCTGTCAAGAAGAGTGTTCAAACATTCGACCTGAAGCTTGCCAGGAGCTTGTGGATGGCTACCAAAAGCGTCTAGTTGCCGTGAAAATGGCCAAGGGACATGTAACCAAATACTAGTGTTGCTGTATGTATATTTTTGACCCAGCAGATTTGGTGACATTTTCAGCAGACCCATAATAAATTTATGAAAGAACCAAATTTTATGACTGTTTTTTGTGACAAACATGTATGTGTTCCGATCACTCTATCACAGAAAAATAAGAGTTGTAGAACTTATTGAAAACTCAAGACAGCCATAACATTATGTTTTTTTACAAGTGTATGTAAACTTTTGACCACAACTGTATTACGTTTCCATGCGTGGCTGTGTGAAATGAGCATCTTAATAAACTGGCAGACACAACAGTGATAACCACGTTTGCGAGGTAACGCAAAAAGAATTGTGAGGTAACAATACTATGATGTGGAAATGCAAAAAAACCCCCAAAAACAAATAAAAAAAACAAACAAAACAAAAACAAACAAAAAAAAAAACCCCACTCATGGCCCCTTGCTGGCTTCTTCGTTTTTTCGTTGGACTTGGGTGGAAAAAAAACAAAGTACTTGGAAGACCCCCTGGCAAAAGAAGCTGACCTCACAACTTCAGTTTCCTGGTATTATCAGTGTTTCCTCTAAACCAGGGGTGTCAAACTCCAGTCCTCGAGGGCCGCTATCCTGCATGTTTTAGAGCAGGGGTGTCAAACTCCAGTCCTCGAGGGCCGCTATCCTGCATGTTTTAGAGGTTTTCCAGCTCCAACACACCTGATTCAGTGATTGAATTAACTCTTCAAATTGGGCAGAAGCCTGATAATTACCCAGCGATCAAAATCTGGTGTGTTGGAGCAAGAAAACCTCTAAAACATGCAGGATAGCGGCCCTCGAGGACAGGAGTTTGACACCCCTGCTCTAAACATAACCCAGCAGAACTAAAACCAGCCGATCAGCATGTTCTTATCTACACAGTTACATTAAGCTCTCATCAACTGCTTCAAACAACTGCTTCTCAAATTGTTGAACTGTGAAATAAAATAACTTTATTAACGCTCCCAGGTAGAAAAGGCACAATATCCATGCAAGTGTCAACAGTAACAAAACACAAGCGTATAACTATTGTTTCCCACCTCATTGAGGAACATAACAGGAAAGATGGTACCATTCAGGCCCTTTGTTTTGCTGTTAGGAACACAGTGAATTAAAAAAAAATCAATAAAATATAATACATAAATCACCAGTACAGTTAAAAAGTGATGTTGGAATGCAGATACTCACGGGAATCCAAAAAGTTTGGTCATCAAGATGTTAACCTGTGCTCTTTTGCTCGCACGCACAATCACTCCGGTAGTCTGTCAGCAAAATAAAGACAAACACATAAATCTAAATATGACAATAGTAATCATGCTGACAATGTCTTTGAGTGTTTAAAGATAAAGACAATAGTTAAAAGAAATTGAATTCTCTGAAGGATTGCATGAAAGTCAAAACTTTCATCCTGAAACCATCTCATGCTGTGTTGTATTTGTTTTGGTCCTCACAGACTGTGAGGATGACTCTCAGCTACTTTTACACAAATTTTTATCCTAATATCTGTAATATTATCAGAGTTATAGACATTTTTGTGTTGGCTAATATCCTTTTGCAGTGGCCCTCTTGAATTGGGTTGACTCAACATGTTAATGAGTTTTAGATGCAAGTCCAATGATTGCTTGTTGAAGGTTTCACTAAAATCTCTCCAGTCAACCCCGAAATATTTTGCTAACAGACAGTGTTCACTCTAACAGTTAAGGTCAAGGTTTCATGCAAAGATGTAGCGTAATGTGTGGTGCTCAGACAATGTTTTGGCAATGGCTCTCAGTTACTACCACACCAAAATCTTATCTCAGCATTTGTAAAACTGAGGTAAAGCCCTTTTTCTGTGTCGGCCATCTTGAATAGAGTTGACTCCAAAGGTTAAATCAGTTGCAGAATGTCAGTACTCTGTGTGCCAGTAGGTGGAGTAGCAGGACATCTTTATTTTGTATTTTCTTTCACCCTGCCCTGTGAGAAGGGACAGCTCCACATGCTGCTAGTGTGCAACTAAAAGGAATTAAAAACCTTGAAGTATTGTATAAAGTAGCCAAATAAATGAGGACCTGCATACGTCTTACCGGGTTGAGATCTAGAAAGGTTTGATGATGCTCTCTCTTAGGGGACAGCCCATTCATGGCAGCTGCATATTTCTCTTCACCCAGATAGAAATGAGGGAAGGAGGCAACCACTGGGGCACCTGAGAAAGGAAAGGAGAGAAGGATGTTAACAATCTGTTCATTAATAGTCAGGATACTAATGTCAGGATACAACAGAGGCGGATTAGGGATTGCTAAAAAGCTGCAATATTTTCAGAAAACATGTCTTTACTAGTGTTGTGCAGATATATGAGCTGTCTCAGATCATTTGCCAAACTTAAATGTTTTGACATGCCCCTTTCTGGTTATTCGCCGCGCAGAAAAAGTAGCTGCTGATGTGAAAAAAAAACCTCCCACCAAATGCCATCAAAGTAGCAACATATGGAGAACGTTTTAATCTGCTACTCCTTTCTGTTTAATCTTTGATGAAATCAGGATACAACAACCACTTTTAGAAAACAATTTTAGGACAAGGTCAAAGAATCTAATCTGATCGGAAAGTCAATGTGTCCAAAGAAAAACAAACAATACAGGCAACACAGATGGACGATAAAGTCACTTGTTAAATAATTAAAGCCAGCCCAGAGAAAGAAACACGGGAAAAAAAAAAGTTTCTTCCTGTTATTGTCAACAGGATTTAACGATCACCTGGTCCAAGATAAGGAGCCACATAAAGGAGGTGGGTGAATATATTTGGGACAGGAGCTCTTGGGACAAAAACAAGGAAGGTCCGACTTTATGAGACGCACAGGTTTATTGGCAGCATCAACAAAGTCATGCGGAGGAACAGCTTGAGGTGCTGATGAAGTGGGGCAGAGGTGACAGATTTCCTTCTCCTGTGTTTGGATATAGACACTGCATGAAAACACCAGACCACCCGCAGCCACCTTAGAGCCCACTCACGCCACTACCCACAAGGTCACTGTGGTGTGAACACACACACACACACACATATTTGTTTTGGTATGCTTACAGGTGACCTTAATCACAGCGTTTACTCATGAAGTCCCTGCTCTGATACGTAATCCTTTAGGCTCGGCCTTGTTTTTGTTGGTGGCTAAACGAAACGTTTGACCTCAGCAGAGACTGCCCCCTCCACACTCAACTCACCATTTTTTCTTCTTCTCATCTGTTTAACGTTGAATTTAAACACCTGCTCTATCTGTAAGTTGGAAACCCAGTGGAATTTATCAATTGCAGATCTTTTAGGTTTTGATCTGAGCTTCGAGAGTCTGAGCCGCTGATGGCATAGTCACAGTTTTAACAATGAATAATCAATTAATTTAATTTAATTAGTAATTTAAAAATAATTAAATTATTTTAATAAGAAAGAAAGAAGATTCTCAAATTAAACACCCAAAAAAAAAAAAAAAAACAGAAGTTAGTCTGTGTGTGTATTATACATGTTTATAAAAAGACAGTATGTGCCATGGAATTGCTAACTCTACATTCAACTCTTATATCCGGTGTTGGGACAATGGATTTATTTTAGTGCAACATCGTCAATAATTGGTGCTTTTCACACGTGTTTCACTCTTAATACATGAGTCTTAAGAACACTGCAATTGTTGTGCTTAGTAACCACACTAGCTACCATTAGCAGTGAAACTAACACTGAAACTAGTTGAGCAGAATGCAAACTAATTAGGCAAAAACCTAAAGGCTATTATAGCAGCTATCACAACATTTCCTGTGTGAGTCAGCCATATTGGATTTTGACGTCAGGGATGATCAAGGGTCTCAGATTTAGGTTATACTCCAGTTGATTTGGCCAACTTGGAACTCAGAAAACCTGGCTTTGAAGTCCAAAATGGGACCACCAATTAAATTTGATTCTGACTAAAATGATGAGCTAATGGCTAGTCCAAGTGGGGCCAAGACAAATGTAGATTGCTGCCATTTAAAATAAAAATCTGTTTGCAGTTAACCATACTAGGCATAGACATCTGTGTAAATTGTTTTGCAATGAAACTTTTATAGTGATGGAATAGTACTGTATATAAAATTTCATTAACATGAATTAATCTTTTGAATTTGGAGTCCTTATAAAACAACAACAGCCACTTTGATTTTTGGTCCCACTAATTTCTCCAAATTGAGTTCATCTACTGAGCCATCTACAACAGGTAAGATATTTACTATTCAAAAATCTTTCCACTTCTGTCCAAAAATGAGTTTAAAAGCTGAAACGTTTAAAGCAATTTATAGTATTGTTCTATTACAGGAAATACAAATCCCTAAGAAATAATAAAGATTAGGTGAAAAAGAAAATGTGGGCAGTAAGATCATCCTGGAGCATACTGAAGGGCAGAATCAGGTGACAGGGCTTACTGCCACCAGCTACCAGGTCAGTTATGGTCGGAGGGTGACTGCAGCATGGAAAGAGCTGGAAAGCTGCGTCACGTGAGTCATTCATGTTGACGTTTACTGCTCGCAGTTTGAACTAAAGTGTGAATGGAATAATCAGTTTCTTGGAAATCAAAAAACAAGAAAAAAAGCTAATTTAAACAAGAAAAGCATCCATTGTTGAAAATGTTCACAGTTTTCCTTGTGAGCAGAGAAATAAGACAACGAATAAAGGAAAAATGTTGCAGACACAAAAAGACCTTGTGAATGTTGAAGGTCAAAGACAGCTTGAGAAAATGTGTTGCACATGCTGACGATTACCGTTCCGACAAGGGCTGACATTCAGGAGCCCGGTTCCCAGGCACTCTGTCGGGGTGATGCAGAAGCCTTTGTTGTTCGGGTTCTCCTCCTTGCTGGCCAAAACCGAGCGCGGCGGTGTGAAGCGATACGCGGGGATTCCTTTCACCTCAACGTCTTTCTCGACTTCCATGTAGATCGTCCTGGACAGGAAAATCCAAAATCACACCAAGGCTCTTTTACAGTACTGCTCTCCATTAACAGGTCAAAAAGGCACAAACTCTGTCCTGTCTGAGTTTAAAAGCAGAAAAATAACATTGTTAATTTGTATGTAGTTTTCCTCATTTGTGTCATTTGTCTGTCCAGTAGTTTCTTGAGGTAGTGTCATGAGTTCACTTATCCTTAAAGTTTGCTCATCTAAACTCTTAATATTAATTCAAAGCAATCTAGAATTTTTTGCATTAGAATAAAATCGTTTTTTTTTTTTACTTTATATTGTTGTCTTTGGTTGATCACACCACCTGTGCTTTATTGCGTGCCACTGTTCCCTTTTTGTACAACACACAGAACAAACAGCAGCGGCGCCGAGTCATACTGCCGTGTTGCTACACATAAGCAACAAGAGTGACGACAATGTAGACTCGCACGTTAAGTGAATGTGAACATTCGTGCCAGCTTGGCCCAGTTTCTACCTCCGCTGCCAGCAGAGAAATCTCAGCAGCGGACAAACTATTGTACCATATGACCTTCCTGACTTGCAAGCTGGGTCAATTGTAGATTATGGCTCTGACAACAAAAACTGTAAAGTTATGTTTTTATAGAGAAACTATGCTAAATGTTTCCTGGATCTGAATCCGGGGGGTTAAAATGTCCTGGAATGGGAAGGTCACCGGTTCAATCCCCCTCTCAGTTGCTGTGTCCTTGGGCAAGATACTTCTCTGATCAGTGTATGAATGTGTTTAGCACTGATTAGTCTCCATAGATGATTTTCACATGTTAGCATTGTAGGAGATCTGGTAGAGTCCTGTGTGAACGGGTAAATGAGGGCACAGATTGTAGTGTGAAGCACTGAGTATTCTGATTGGGTAGAAAGACCATTTACCATTTGAAGTATTGATTGAAGCATTTCCCAATGGTGGTGTCATTTGCTCTTTATCTTGCTTTGTACTACTTTTAGTTTTAGGTATTATTTTGTTGCTTTTGTCAGGTTCGTGTATGCTGAACCCAGGGAGCAGACTCAAAAACTCATAAGTACTCAAAGCAAAAAAACAAAAACAAATTATTTACAAAAAGAAAAGGCCAACATTGAAGCTGAAAACTTACTTACAAGGAGCTCTAAGAGAAAACACAAAGAGGACAAACAAAACAGAACAATGAACCTACAGGGAACACAAAACAAGACAGGGAATATAAAGGGATCCTAACGAACGTAAATGAGGAACACCTGGGAAGGAACACAAGAAAACTAAAACAAAAAAAAACCCTGCAGCTTTACCTATTTTTAAGTAGCTTTTTTGTTACTTTTACCATCTATTTAGCTTTTTGATACTTTTAGCTAACATTCGACTACTTTTATCTACTTACTAGCTTTTTTTCAATTTCCAAGCTAACCTTTTTATTCTTCAAGCTTTTAGCCCAGGGATGGGCAGTTCTGGTCCACAAGGGCTGCTAACATGCATGTTTTAGACCAGTGGTTCCCATAACTTTTTATCTTCTGACCCACAAAATATCCATGGCGAAAACTTGTGACCTCAAATATTACTGGTCTGAGTACACAAACTTTGTTAGCGACCCTAAAAACACAGGTTTTTGACAATCTAAACAGCTTGTACACAAATATAAATACTTATACTTATTTTGCATTTTTGTAATAATTATAGGGAAAATATTACATCAGCAATTATTTTATTACCCTTTAAATTGATTTCTGGGGATTTTCCAAGGTGYTTCATGACCCATAATTGGGTCCCAAACCCAACTTTGGGAACCAAAGTGCAGTGGTTCCCAAACTTTTCAGCTTTTGACCCACAAAATAACAGTAGCAGAGACCTGTGCCCMCAAHTATTTTTGGATGATAAACATTTGTATCAGGTCAACAAAACATGGGCATAGTAACAATATTTTATACTACATTTATCCATTTTAAATATACTAACCTCACTCCTTTGTAACAACCAAGGCAAAAATGTAATTAATTCAGAAAATCTTTTCAGGACCCCACTTTGGGTCCCGACCCCAACTTTGGGGAACACTGTTTTAGAGGTTTCTCTGCTCCAGCACACCTGATTTGAATGAATGTGTGATTACCAAGCTTCTGCAGAACTTGAAGTGAATTCAAACACAGAATCAGGTATATTGGAGCAGGGAAACAAGTAAAACATGCAGGACAGTGGCCCAGGATTGCCCATCCCTGAGCTCGCCCTTTGCTACATTTAACTCACAGCTAGACTTTTGCTTTTAGCTTTTAGAAAGTGTTCTGCTCCTTTCAATTTTAAGAACTCGCTGTACACTTGAACACATTTCAACACTTTGTACTCTGTATTCAAACTGCAGTTTCTGAGAAAGTGCAGCTTTGTGAAACAATGTTCTAAGTGTTGAGGCATTTAAGCGACCTAGGAAAAATGCATCTCAGTAGATTTGTATTCATTTATCTGATACAGAAAAGCCCAATCGTAACACTTTTACATTTCAGACACGTTGCGAGAACAATGTGACGATTAATTTCTCTTCATGGGCTGAACTCAGTCACGTAAGGTCGGTTTTGTTTCAACAGCCCCTGGGAGAACTGCTTTACTGTGAGCAGCTCATCCTTGTTCTGTGAATAACTGCAGCTTTATCCTGATAGAGGGGGGAATCTGGACATCCCTCAGCGAGAACAAAGCACTCCATACACTATCTGCCAACTGACTGGGAGGAAACACAGCCTACCAGTCATGTAACAATACTATATAGACCTTTCCCTTGACCTCTGAGGGAGAAGCCAAGAAAAACGCCTGATGTGTTTCTACTTTAAATCTGGAATGAGAGCGTCTGTCCTGCACTGCTGGGAATGAGAAACAGTCACCAAGTTTAGATGCCTGTTTGTGTGTGTTGTATCATAAGCCACTGGACAGATTTAACTGAATTCTCAGAAGGTACTCAGTCTAAAAAGGGGCAAAAAGTCATTATGAATGATTAAATAATGGAGTCAATGCAATTCAAAATTGATTGCCACAGCCAATCAACCCTACAAGCACAAAAATACCTATAACTCTTGCAGTTTTGCAATACAGCAGGCATTATGGTTTTCCTTTAAAACGTATTTTGATGTGTTTGTTATTGAAACCTGACCAAAATAAGGTTTTCAGAAAAATGTTCACAGCAAATGGAAGCTGGTATTTGAACAATGACACCTGTCTGCAGTGCTTCAAAACAGATGAGCCGTCTGTGGCTCAGCTGTCAGTTTGAGGCAAAAGGTCAGTACGCAGTCGGCTTGCAAATGGCAATCCTGGCACTGCTTTTAACCAGCTGATCAATCCCATATGTCTGCCTAACTTGTCTTTTTACCCACTAGGTTGTTGAGCTGCTTTAGGCAGAAGTGCTTGTAAAGGTTAGAAAGGTAAAAGGGTCGAGATATGACTTCACAGAATGTTTCCTCTTCAAATTACTGCAAAGAAAAGCGGGAAACGAGGAGGAAGACTCCCCTTTAGTCATTATAATGCAGACAGATGTAATGCTTCCACCAGGCAATGTGTAAGTAGGTGAAAGTGTTGTGTAAATATCTGGGTGAGGGGGTTTTGGCACATGTCCGATCAGAGGCAAAGGTACAACTGCGCTACTTTAACGGATTCCTTCCACACACACCACAAAAAGAGGAAGATGTGGGTTGGAGTTTTTGTTTCCATTTTTACCACAATTAAAAGAAAAAGGACAAGGCTTTTTTTTTCTTTTTTTTGGGGAGGGGTGGGGGGTGGGGTTTGTTACAAACAAGAACTAACATTTATGAAATCAAACTCCAAGGAACTGGTCTGAAGTAACTCTTCACCCACATTGATCAAGTTCTCAGTCCTAATTCTGAAATTCTAGATCCGCCAAAAAGGTCTTTGTCGCACTTTCAAGCAAGGACATAAAATGCTTTAACTAATCATAGTTTTTCATTTGGCTCCAATGCAGTTAACAGTAACACGTACACTGCAATGCTATCTACAAGTGATCAGGGCGTTATGAAAGACTGGATCCAAAGTTTAGGACTGTATCGGCTACAAAAGCTTTCACCTCAGTTTGGTAGGTCATGGATAATAGACCCCATTACCCAACCACTGCAAACTAAAGCAGAACTCATATGCTGGAAAAGTTTTTGTGGGTGTTTGTAGTGCCCTTGCAATATGTAATCTTGCTACTATGTAAATATAGGAGCGCTATATATTTCTTTGACAAACAAGGAAGGTTGCAATGAGTCCTTATTTAATTTGACAACACATTACAATGACAGCTCCAAGGTCAGACCTTTCATTGAGATTTTTTAAAAATAAAATCCTAGATTTTATGTGAGGAAGTTTGGTATCTTTATACATTTAAGTATCTTTATACATTTAAGTAAGTAAGTTGAACAGGTTGCTCTGATAATGGCGGGAGAGAAAATGTCAGGTTATCATCCAAGGTGGAGGTTATAAAAACTTACTGTTTCAGGATCAGGCAGGCATTATCACCTTACTGAGTGTCTGAGGCACTTACCTCATTAAGATTTTCAGAGCTGGGATATGACCGACTACTGTATTGGATATCAGATTATATAGAATTTTATGAATAATTTAATACTTTATAAGTTAGACTGAATGAACTCACAATTCTCAGATAATTTGTTGATTTGCTCCTGCTTGTCAAATGGGATTTTTATTTAATTTCTTTTTCATTACAGTAAGTCACCAACTTGTTAATAAAGATCTTGAGTTGCCATTGGTCATAAGAAGTTATATATTTGGATCCTTCTTCCTTCCCGTTTTTAATTGATGCCAACAGAATGATATGACTACTGCAGTCATCACTTGAAACAAACACCAGTAACATCCACAAGGGTTTCTATTTGGAGATGGAAGAAGTGAAGCTTTTGGCAATATTTTCCCTCTTCCATGTTGGTTGATAAGGAGGAGCAAGACTCACTGTTCTGGGACATGCAACTTAGTACTTTGATGATGTCTCTTCTCTATGCCAAGTTTTTGTCTCTCAAGGGGTTCAGCCAGACACTTCTGTGTTTGTCTCAGGTTGTGAGGGGACATCCCTCTTCCATGTCTAGTTTCATTTTCAAAAAAGGTCAACTGGATACCCTTCTGCTATGTCTAGTTTCAGTCTCCAAGGATGTCCAGCTGAATATCCATTCACCACATCAAGTTTCAAACCTCTGAAGGTCTCAGCCAGGTCGCCTCTTTGTCGTGTAACATTTTAGTCTCTTAAAAAGGGCAATATTATGTTTTTCTCAGGCAAATATTTAAATACTATACCATCTATGTCACCTTCAGTTGTTATTAAGATGCTGTTTTTATGTTTAAAAAGAAAATAAATCTATCTTCTCATCACTTCCTCTTCTAAACGCCTTGAAATTGGCCTCCGTCTCTTTAAGAACCACCTTCTGCTTCAGTCCCGTCCACTTCGGTGCGGGGG